ATTTTCTTCTAGAATCTAAGCATTAGAAAACTTAGTGACTCAGCCATCTTCTGCTAATCATTGCAGGTTTTTTTGGGTTAGAGACTTGAGAAGTTAGTTTGTTTTAGCACTAACTCCCTTTCTGAATTAAATTTTTACCTTAGTTTCTCAACTTAAAATTTCTTTGACTAACTGCTTAGTGACCTATGAAAAAATTGTTTTAAACCAATACATTTAGTAGACCTGCAGAAGAACATAGGTCACTCCTTCCTGGTCTTTCCATAGTACTTGTTTAAATATATATAATGAAAACAGATCTTTCATATGTCACTGCACTGTTTCCCTTCACTTCCCAAAGAGTGCCGTAAAAGGAGCTCTATTATCAATGCCAGCTTTCACAGTCAAAATGACACAGAAGAAATTTTTACTTTTAAAGCTAAGTGCACTTACTTAATCACTTCCTCCACTTCTCCCCCAGTTTGCGTATCTTAATTAATATGAATAGTTACACAGAAAAAGAAAGGGTTTGTAATTAGGTAATATGGTTAAAATGTTAAAATGTGACTTTCCAAAATAAAAATCTTATCTATGACTGAAATTAAAGTCATCCACACCTTTACTGAGGCGTTCCTTTTCCGCTGCAATTTAATCATCTTTCCCTTCCTTGTCTGGCTTCCTTGGCAGTTTCTGATGTTCGTGTCAAAAAATAAAAGCTTTAAAATGTCCAACCTCTTATAATAAAACTGTGTACAAGACATGTTTTGTTTTTTTTTAAAGACACTACAATGAAGAAACATGGAATAGTTATCGTTACTATGGGGGACTCAGGCACTTCCACTTGTATTCCTTAGGACTGTGTATTCCAAGAGGCTACAAAGATACAGATTCCAGTGTCTCCTACAGAAATGGATGTGACTCACACAAGCATACACCAGACAGTGAAAACCACTAACTAGTTTGCTCTACTCATTGTCTGGTAGAGTCAAAGATGCAGTTAGCTTCCCTTGAGAAGGGATGTACTCAAACCACCATCAAGACCTCAAGAAGCTCAGGAAATGGCAGAAGACATTATAAACCAATGACGAACATTTCACTGATTAAATGCTGAGATTTTCTCTTGGTTGGCTTTTGAAAACAATGTGCTCCTTTGGTAGTGACACAGAGCCACTGATGTGCAGCCTACCTGCCATTATGCTCTCCTTAGGCCTACAAAAATTATTCTTGCCAGATGAGTCACTGTCCTTAGAGAGCTGTCTTTCACTCAGAAGTAGGTTCCTAAATATTCCAGAGGAACTTAATGCATGTCAGTCAAGTCTGTAAAGGTATGCTTAAAAGAATTTAAGAGATCTGGGTGCCTGCTCCCATTCTGATGTCTTTCTCTGTATGTGCTATCCTAGAAGAGGAAGAAAAGTAGTCACAGTACTTTAGACATATGATTTCAGGCCCAGAAGAAGCTAAAAGCCCAGTGCTTCAAACAGAGGCAAAATATTCTCATACCTCACCGTGAAGCAACACTTTTCCCCAAGTTCTTCCAGGTGCAAGCATTAACATCTTGTACACTGGCATGTTGTGCAAAGCACCGTTTCTAAAACTGGCCTCCACCTCCAGTGGACTGCTGGGATCAGCGTGTCTCACTGGGGTCAGCCTCACTTGCTGGTGTGCAGTTAATGGCTCCCACTGAGCCTAAATATATAAACATCGGGTGTCAGGAGGATGGGACCAGACTCTTCTCAGTGGTGTCCAATGACAGGACCAGGGGCAATGGTCACAAACTGGAACACAGGATGTTCAACATAAAGAAAAACTTTTCTGTGAGGGTAACAGGCTGTCCAAGGAGGTTGTGGAGTCTCCATCTCTGCAGACATTTAAAATGTGGCTAGATATGTTCCTGTGATCTGCTCTGGGTGATCCTGCTCTAGCAGGGGGCTGGACTAAATGATCTTCAGAGACCCCTTTCAATCTCTACCATTCTGTGAGTCCTGCAAGGGCTGTGATTCAGAATGCAGCTGTTTGCCTACAGAAGCAGCCTATGCAATCTGCTTTAAAGCATAAAAGTGCATGGGCACATCACCCCAGCCCAGCATGGCCCTCAGCATTCCTTTAAAATCCCAGCCAATGCAGAGGTACACCTTTTTTGACTTTTTATTGTTCCTGCTAGCTGGATCAGACCAATGTAACATGCTGTGGTTGCCAGCATACACCAATGTATGTGTAGGTACCTCAAGCCAGCACAATCAAGACTACACAAATTTTGGAAAGTTATTTGAGAGAGGAGACATCTGGGCTGTATTCCCTGTTCCGTTATTTGCTTTGTGCAAAACAGAGCACCTTTATTGGGTGAGAGTGTGATCCTTAATGGCAAATACACTGTAAAATTGACCTCTGTAAGGGAGGAGAACCATAGTTACAGAGACCAAGTTCCAGACAGTCCAGGCAAGCTTTTTAACCATAGGGCTATTGATAAATCAGCATTGTATTACTCTCAGCCTTCTGAGTCCCATGAATAAGACACATGGAAAATACATATATTTTACATACACTTTGCAACACACCCAGTGGCTTTAAGACATAGGTGAATTTGTGCATGCTCAGCAAGGGCAATTTAAACATCTTAAAAGTATGGGATTTTGTGCTCCTTACATGATAGGCATATATTATACATAGTGAAGTGAAAACAGCGTAAGGATTGCACATTGTGTCCTCAGCTGCACTGATACAATAATGTGCAAGGCAAGGCTGTACACCAGATTATTAATGCTGTGACCATTTAAAAAAACACATTGATAACCAATCACAAAAACCACGCAGCAAACTAGTTAACCATCTTCTGTAGTAATTTTTAATAGCATTACTTTGAAAACCCACATAACAATGCTGCATGACGAGCACTTCTAACAGAACAGCTGAAGGTGCAGCAAATTTTGCTGTAAAGGACAGAAGCAATTGGCCGGAGGTAGCCAAGAACTTCTGAAAACAGTTTGGCAGTTGAATCCACTATACTGTGTAGCTGATTTTCCTATATAAAACTAATTAGTAGGGTCAGATTTATGGGACTTGTTGCTTTTTTATCTTTGGATTAAAAATAGCCAAGGCCTGCCATATCTGCAGGATCATCTGCTTTTTTTCTTCCTTTCCTTTCCTTTCCTTTCCTTTCCTTTCCTTTCCTTTCCTTTCCTTTCCTTTCCTTTCCTTTCCTTTCCTTTCCTTTCCTTTCCTTTCCTTTCTTTCTAAATCATGGCACCAGTTGAAAAAAATATATGGATACTAAAGCTAGGATTTAAAACTACTGTGCTAAATTACTTTCTCCCCCAAATGCCACAAATATACAAATAAAACAAAATCCAACTGGAATTTGAGGTTCTCAGTAGTTCTGAGAAGTCAGAGCCCCCAGTTCATACATGTAGGCCACCAATAAATTCTTATTTTTCCATCTACCCACAAATAAAAAGCCAGATACTGAAATAAGAAAATTACTGCATATACTCAGGTGGCTAAGTATCTTGTAACATGAATAACTACGCAAGGAAAATCATTAACAATAGAGCCATCTGCTGTATTTACAAAAAACTACACCAGCAAAAAAATCAGAAAATTTTCTTAAAATGCTTCACAACCTGAATTTTTCTGCTTATTAGAAAAAGTGATGCTAATGATTAGCACATCAATTTAAATTACTGGAAATGTGTATTTCTTACACCTCTTCTAATTAAAAGCAATACCTATTGGCATAATACTGATGCTCTGTATCTAATGACACTAATTGACATTACAGCTGCTCAGGGAAAAAAGACTGAAATGCTTCCCATTCCATTTGAAGCAGATAAGCACAGTATTGTGTAAGGAGACAATGAGGTCAGTAGATAAGCACAGTGTTGTGTAAGGAAACAATGAGGTTAGCGGCAAGTTGAGTATTTATTTAAATTCTGAAAAGACATTTGGCTTATTTTTTCATCCTCTAAAATAAGAAGCAATTCTAGGTCTGGAGAGCTTAGATGAAAAAAAAACAAACCACAAACCAAAACAAACCTCAACAGGAAAATGAAGGAAAATTGGTATCTTTACACTTCTTTCTATTGATATACTCAAAGAGCCCTCTTTCAAGCATGGTGGAAGAAGCAGGTGCTTAACAGAACAGAGTTCAAAGAACACAGCCTTACCAGCCAGTTCCCAGTTTTGCGTCTTAAAGACAGCATTAAAACACAGCCCTAAAATCCTGGTACCAATGCAGTCCCAAAGCTTCAGAGGGAATACACTGCTGTAAATTTGGCTTCAATGGATGCTTTACTACATTAAGTCTGCAATGGCTACAACTATGCAAAAAAGTAATACCTACAAACTATATGTATTCTCTGAAAACTCTATCCCACTCATGGGAATGTGTTTCTTAGCTGAAAAGTTCCAAATAAAAGACAGATAGACTCCTAAACATCACATCATTAGAACTTCTACAAGTGCCACTTAATTGCCAGTAGCGAGTGCCACTAAGTTTGAGTGTGCCAGTTAAAACCAGTTATAATGTAGCCCCTCCCAGTGTCTGCTGGTGTTTTTCCTCTCATTGCATGTCCAGTACAGCTGGTTTCCCAAACTGCACTCTCACAGAAGTGGTCAGAAGAAGTGCAAACCAAAAACCAGAGCTGTCAGCACAGAGAAATCCCCCCTGCATTTAAAATAAGTTTACAAGCCATCTACCTACATTACCTCTGTAGCTCACAACTGCCTGGATAATGTGTGTATCTGCCCCAAATGTATGTGTCCTTATTCAATATACCCATATACAACAAACACATTCCTATCAATTTTGTCATTTAGCAGTTTTTAGTGTTATTTAACTGTTCATGCAGTTTTTTAAGTTATACAAAACAAGTGACACTTCGTTACTACACCTGCAACTTCACTAATTGCTGCATAGTAGTTTTTTCTACTATGGGCAAAACTAAACTTTCACAACTAGAATTTTTTAGGCTTCATAAATAATTCAGCAAAGACATTCTTAGCTTAAAAAGAAAACCACATATATTTACCTGCCATCATAGCTATCATACTGGCTTTGTAGACATTAGCAAGGGACCCCAGTTCACCTGTTGCCAAGATTGTTTTCATATGAGCTTCTCCACAGGCCTCACGGCACTGACGGATCTCCTCATAGAGACCTGTGGATAAAAGCAAGTGAGAATGATCAAAGTTGCCTGAGAGACAAGTATGGCTGTAACTTCCACTTCTGGATTAATTTCCAATCTTTTAATTAGTCATAGCACTCAAGATCTTAAGTTTTGTAAGTTCAGTAACTTACATGACTGGAGGTAATTAACAATGCCACACAGTTTCAGACTTAATAACTATTAATGTCAGTTCTCTCAAAACTAAGAACATGTCCAGTACATCAAACATACATGAATACATCAGGAGTAAAAAATGCTATGAAAGTCAAGTTTGATTTTTAAACAGCTTTACAGCAATAAATACAGTAGGACACTGAATCAGTACTAAGGGACAGTTACGCTTTCCTGTCCATATTATGACATCACCCACTCTGTGCCCTTCAGCCACATTTCCCAAGGGGCTTAGCCTACAAGATACCAGAGGTGTGACCAAGTTGTCTAATTACAAACATTAGTGCCAATTGAGATGCCATGAAATATGCCCCTTGGCTTCCAGCTGCCGCTCCTGGATGGTCCACATCTCCCTTTGGTTTCCTACCATTCCCCCTAGTACTATGGAACCATCTTGAGAAGACTGATTACAGAGCTCAATGTCTCTGTTGAGACAACTGAATTCCACTTTAAGCTTCTTGAAAATAACTATTTCCTGAAAAAAATCGATGTGGTTTGCTAGCATCCCTGGTGAGGAGAGACTGAGGCCTGGGATCACGCCTCAAGGACCAGCAAATCCACATGGATCTGTGTTTAAGAATCACCTCAAGTAGTTGCATTGCCCACAAGGTTACCAAGGACTTGAACCGTTTTGTGCTGTGACCTCAAAGGGCCGTGGCAAAGGTGTAACAAGCACCACAACAGGAGGCCCACTGGACAACATCTGTCTAGCATGCCATAGAGTTACAGATTCAAGGGCAGAGCTGGACCCTCACTTCTGATTCCCACACTAACTGAGGAAACCAGCTGGAGCTAAGAAAAGAGGAATTCCCACTCAACCAGATGCCCATTGCAGGGAGAAGTAGGGACAGGGAGGAAAGGCTAGCATTTGGCTGCTCATGGGTATCATTCAGAGCAGACCACCCCCTCACAAACTCCTGCTTTTGGATTTACAAAGTATCATGGTTAGAGGAATGCTTAACTATGTAACAGTCTTATATTTTCACAGACTCAGTAAGGACTATACTAAATTTGGACATAACCAACTGTAAAAAAAGGGTAGAGCTTGTGGACCTGGTCAGGTAATGCAACATGGGGAGCACAGGGAAACCTTCCCACAGTTCTTGATAAAACTCAGCAGTTCTCCCACAAAATTTTAAACATAGGGAGACTAAAAGAGTGAGAAATTATCAAAACATAGCTCTTAAAAGCTGGACACTTGGGGATATATAAGTCTCCTCTAGTGCTGAGTGAAAAGGCTCTTACAGTGTACATTCACCATTTCTGAAATTTTACTAAAAAAAAAAAAAAGGGACAAAAATAAACAAACAGGATCCTTTGGAAGAGAGACCTTTTCACAAACTGTACTCAATCTTCAAACACATAATCAACAAGTTCTTTTGTGGAAGGCTGAGATACAGCTTTTAACAGTTTTTTCTTGCTAAAAAAGTCCAGGATATGGCTATGAAGGCTAACTTTTTTCAGCAATATTAGCTTTCCTCTCCCCTCAATCCTTAAGCAAGATCTGGAAACATACAGTAGGATTTGGTAGCTGCTGTACAGCTGGACCTCACCTCCACCCCTGATGCTGCCACATCCCACTGATGCCATCAGCACACCTGGTGGGTGGGGCTGGGATCACTGGGATGGGTGGTCCTCTGAGATGTACTACACAGTAGTAGACAGCTGCCTAATGCATTCAGCAAGTCCCTTTATAGACACCAGGCTTCACCTTGTTTCTCACTATGTACCAAAGGTGTGAATTAATCAGTACTAGCATGCAGTCTAACATGTTTTATTGATCAATTGATGATACTCCAGAAACCTACATCAAATTGAGACTCAAAAAGGAAATACAAAGAACCTGTGTTATTTTCTTGTGCATTTGATAACACAGCTCACGTTAGACCCAAATGCAGTCTCTTTTTGGGGAGTGACTCTTTCCTGAAGCTTTTGGAAAGCGGAGAAAGCAGCTTTCACGTCCTTCTGGTTTCAGTAACAAGAAGGAAAGACTCGAGTTTTCCCTACCTTTAAGATAAGTCACCAAAAATGTCACAATAAAATCTACAAAATGTACATTTAGGTTGGATCCCATGAAGAGAAACTATATCCTGATAATTCTTTTTGTCTGGACTTGGTACCGCCGCTACAGCATCCTCTCTATTGTTTGAAACTACTTTTACATGCAATTAGTGCCAAGATCATTTCAACAGTCTTACAAACTGACAGTGTGAAGCAACCCACGAACAGGAACAACTGAGGGTCTTCAATCATCCTTGTCTGTTGGGTTATCTGGAGGTGGTGGAAAAGTGGGCATACTTTAACGGGGCTGGTGTGTAGGCAATAAATACTGCTCTTTATTCAGAGACCAATTATCGCAGACAATAGATGGCATTCATAGGACATTCTTAACTCTACAGTACAAGCACTAACAGAAATGCAACTACCTCTGGGACAGAGAAAATTAATCGAAGCACACCCGTCCCAGTGTAAGCAGAGACAGCTTTGATACAGAACAAGGGCAAAACTCCTACTCCTTTCAAAAATAAAAAAGAAGTTTCACTACTCAGTCAGATTTAATTCAAGGCAGAAATAACTTGATAATCCTGAAACTTCCTAGCCATGTCTAAAGTAGGGGTGGAGTCAACCACACTTGAAAATGCACTCAGTGTTTCAAGGGATCTTGCCTGGGCTGCTTCTGGGACAGTCTGTTATGTCCATCATATAACTACTCAGTCCTGTCAATCTGATAAGTAGCAGGAGCAGAGTTGGATACTGTGGTTTTGGAAATACCTGCAACATGTGCCAAATGCCAGTAACTTACACAGCAGATAAAGCTCTCTGGTTAGCAGTTGTGTCACTATGATTTTGGGAACACCTTTATCACAGAAAAACCCTGCAGGCGTATTTTCAACTGTGAGCTAAGACTACCATGAAGAGGTTGCAAGAGACTCTCCTTACTGCTAAAAACAAGGAAGAGAAAATCAAGAGGTCTCAAAACAAACGGCCAGTACTGTGTAGCACCTTGAACACAGTACCAACACCATCCATTCTAAAAGAAGTCTACGTCTTAAGCCAGGAGGGAGAAACAGAAAAAAAACCCCACCAAAACAAATCCCAAAGCAAGACAACCTATATAGCATATATTTGGTGCCAGATGCTCACTGATACAGTCAGCAGTAGCTTCAGTGACTTAGCTGTCAAAATAAGACAAAAGAACTACTTTGCAGCCACTAATTTAAGTTATCTTACTGCTTTCATGAACTTTAGATCTGCTTTTATTTGATGCATTTATAGAAGATGGGAGAAAAAAAATACATTCCTAGCTGTTGTTTTAATTTCACTTTTACAAAAGTTAAGTGTTAGAAGGTGCCTTTTTTTTTTTAGTTTTCCTAAAATTCTAATCTTCAGTCAATTATATTGATTTTAGTAGCTATCAGATATATCAAAGAAAATGTTTCTCCCCCTACACCTCTCTCAAGTAAACATCTCTGACAATTACTGCCCTATGTTGTCTAGATGGTCTTCTGCTTTGGTCCAATACATTTGTCCTAAAATTCGCAAAATAGAGGGGATAATCCACGCCTCCTATTCAGGAAATGAAGATACTAAGGGGAAAAAAAAAAATCAGCTGAAATTTTCACTAAATATGTCTTGTCCAAAAATGGGGTGATAAAACCTTATCTTTTTTCCTTTTTTGTTGTTGTTGTGTTGGTTTTTTTTGGTTTTTTTTTTTTAATCAGATTATTTGCTGTTTTTGTGTAGTCAGTCACATTGACTGATGTTAAGGGTAGAAACTGAGACAAGGAGGGAGGATGTTTTGATTTTTGTTAGACCAAAAGATCAAGGTAATCATGATGGGAAAGTGGAAAATGAGCTGGAATCCTCTCTGTCTTGCACGTTAATGGCAGGTTTGTTAACAAAATGACAAGCACAAGGCTATCAGCACAACACATCCCTCTCAGTTCTTCTCTCAGTCACATATGTGCAACTCCAGGCTCCAGTGATTCACAAGAAATTGAAAACAGACCTTGGCTTCAGGAGTCTGTGCTGCTGCTGACAATACCAGACAGAAATTGTGCAACTAAAATTCAAGATCCCAAGTCAGCTTGCACATCTAGAAAACAGGAAATCCTGCTACAATATTTCTGAACACCATGTGGAGTCTTTTCCAAGACTCTGGAGTGGGGAGTACATTCTTCCTGTGCTGTTTATAAAGTGTGTAGCACAAAAGGGGGGCCCAATACTTTAACAATGCCTCTAAACTCACAGTTCAAAAATAATTATTCACAGAATTTAAAGGCAGCTTTCATATTAACATTATACCTATTTCATGGATATAGCCATGTTCATACTTCTTAGAGCATACTTGTTTTCTTTCCCTTTTCTGGTAGGAAAATTTAACTGACATAGAGTAAATGATGGGTTAACAATATCTTTGAAGCCACTGCCTGTGTAGCCTGTCCAACTGTTTGCTAAAAGCTTTGGAACAAGTAATATTGCAGCACCCCAAACAGCTTCTGAAGGTACAGCAACTCCAACATATTCATTGACAACAGGGGAAAAAAGAAAAGTAAATAAATCCAGTCCATTTCAACAATTTGTTGGTCAACTTACATTACTCTTTACAGACATGTTCCCCATTCTGTGCCTAAAAAACAGCATCTAAATTGTTATTTTTAAGCTTAATTTATACTTGGTCAAGTGACACAAGACAATAGTTGAGCAAACTACTGTAAAATAGCATTGCTTTTAAAGCTAATATGTTGTAAAAGGTATATAAGTTCAGAAACTTAACCCTCATTTAATGGTATTTTCCAATGTAAATTAACTGTCCAATAAAGCTGCTTTCATGTTTAGCATCATTTAAAAGATCTTAACTATTACTTCATAAAGATCTAGAAAATGTATTCTGAGTGTCATAAAGAGCGACAACAATATTTAAGAACTACTTTAAAATAACTTGACATAATCGGACATACACTGAAGTATTTAATAACCAAATAAGCCTTTGATACAAATCACAAAGCAACACTATGCTATCTTGGTAACCCCAATTATTGCACAGGCTAGAAGAAAAGCTAAAAATGGTAGGACAAAAAACACTGCCACATACATATTTTTGTCAATAACTCCCAAAGTTGTGAAGACAGGCAACATGAGAAAATAATGATAAAAATATATTTGTCATAACTGTAAGGCAGCTCTAGTCGATGAAGCACCTTGAACAGAGGCATAGTTACTGCACTAGAATTCTCCATTTTATGTAATATAGAGATCCATCCTAAAAAAGACTTCATCCCTTCTTCCACCTTCCTTAAATATAATTTGTACATTGTCGTGTATCACATCTAATAACTAGAAAGAGGTGAAAACTTGCAAATTCACACAGGTAATATATATCTATTGAAGGCTAAACAAAAAGTCAGAATACTAGATTTTCACCAAAAAATTTAATTTTCACCAAAATATTCAGATCACCTATTGAAGTAAATTCTTTGGATAGGCAAGTTAAATATTGCAAATGTTCACCCTCTAGTATCTTGATCTGGATGGCAAATAAATTCTGTTCTGGAGACAGCTTTTTTAAAGGCAACTTTATATCTGCTATACACTGATTCACTTTGATAAAAAAACTTTCAGAAACTTTTGGAAATAATTTCAATTCTGCCTTCAGTAAATATATATAAGCTAACTAGTGTAAAAAAAAAAAAAGAAAAGATGGCTTTCAACCTTGTTGTGATTTCATCTCTGGATAAAAAATATGCATACCAAATCATGTCATCCCTCATTCACTTATTTAGTAAACTAGCAGCTTTATACTATATCCATCATTGCTATGTTTGTGTACTCCTCCCCCGTAATTTTTTATCATAAAACCCAATTTATTTCTCACACAGAAAAACCTAACAACGTATGTACCATTCATTTCAATCACTAATACAAACTTTCTCTCTGAATCTAGCCCTGTATTTCTCCTCTGAGCTCTCCTTCATATAATCCCTGGGAAAATAACCTCATGCCTGCATTTGCAATTGCCTACACGCACTGATCTCTGCTCTATGCAACTTGCACTTGACAGTGGTTTGTACCATGAAGTCTGAAGCATGTTAACCACAGTTATGTTAGAAATTACTATAAGAGACACTTATTCAGACACAATCACAAGTTGCTGCTCAAGTCCAATTCAGTGGTCTCTTTTTAGACCTACTGACAGATCACTGACTCAACTCACTTTGTATCCAAGAACAATATGTGTTACCAGTGGAGCTCAGCTCCTCGAGGGGGTACCTGCTTTGTAGACCATAGTGTAGACCCTAACAAAGTTACAGGATAGGAAAGTGTGTGTGTAGTTTTTCTGCCAGCTGGTATAGAACTCAATCCATCATTCTGCCTTATTTCCAGCAACTTCTGAGGCCATACCTGAACTTAAAATAGTAACTCTGAAAGAAACAAATGTCTTATCTTCAAGAAGTCAAACAGTTGTAAAGCTGCATATATTTAAGAGCAAAAGATGGAGATGGTGAATACTATAAGAAAAGTCAAGATGTTACAGCAAGTGGAAATCAGGATGTCTGTCCTGCAGAAACAGATGCAGAAATGTGGAGTTTTTGATTCAGTTCTAACTGCTAATTGAAGGAAGATAAAAATCAGAAAATATTATCTGTTACCATGATGACTGCGTTTTCCTTAACCAAACTCTGGTACCAGGGGTCCTTTATGAAGTCTTCCAAGCAAACAGGTTATTACAGTGCTGCATTATGCAACTAAATGGAAAATTCATTCCAAGACAATGATGTGTTTACCTTCACATGGAGATTAGTTATAGGGAGCACTGTCAGCACTTAAGGCAAACCATTCACAGTACATTAAGGAGGCAATTAGAGCAAAAACCATCTTCAGCATTATTGCTCTTACTAATTAGTAGTAGTCTACAGACACAAGAACATCAATAATAATATGAACAGTCAATTTGTACCCTCAGCTTTCAGGAAAAAGAAAACAACTAAAATACATATTTTTGTGAAGAATTGAAACGTGTATATTTTACAAGGTATCATCTGCATTAGCAACCCCTTGGGGGTTTTAACAAAACTGTTCAAATAATTAGGCATTCACTTCCATTTCACTTGTTATTTTTTTAATCCTGTACACAAAGTCCTGTAAACGCATAGAAAAATAGACCTGAATTTTCAAAACACAAAGTAATTCTGTATGCCCAGACATGGACATGCCCATGACAGGACTTTTAACAGTATTCCTTTAAAAACATTCAACCATTAGTCACAAATTAGTTAAATAGTTTTTATGTAGCTCAATGCCCCAGGTTAACAGTTACTCTTAGGGGAGTGATCAAATTCTTCAAGGAGAGATGTGAAAACCTGGGGAAAAGACAAAGACAGAATTCCCATGTCCATACACAGAGGTTTAGGTTCCATGCCAAAGGGTGGGTACCTACCTTCCCACTGGCCAGTCAGCACCAGAGTCCTGCTAATGACAATGTCAATTTCTCTGGCACCATATTCCACAGCTAGCTTTATTTCAGCCAGTTTGGTTTCTAGAGGAGTTTGTCCAGATGGAAACCCAGCAGCCACTAGCAAGAAAGGGGGTAAAGGTAGAGGGAAGAAAATGTTTTATAAATTTACTGCAACGTTGCATGTACCTCTAATATACCCAAGATTTTGAAAGTTACTGGGTTTTACCCCTACCATGATTTAAAAAATCTAAAGGCACCTCATCCTACTTTCTCTTTATCCACAAGAAGCATAAGCTCTTCCCTCAAGAACCAATGTCCACTAAGATATTAAGTGCATCTTGTGAAAGGTCTCTTTAACATGCCTTAAATTTTTCCAAAGCAGGCTACATAAGAAAGGACAGTATCTATTGTTTCCAGCAGAATTGAGCAAGCAAGGAGTGAACTCATATATGAAGTAATACATACATATTAATTCTCCCCAATTCTTTTAAGTAGTATGTCAACTTAAATCCTAGCAGAACCACAGAATCCTTCAGGTTGGAAAAGACCTTTAAGATCATCATGTCTAAACATTAACCTAACTCTACCAAGTCCAATGCTTAAACCATGTCCCTAAAGACCACATCCACACAACTTTTAAACATGTCCAGGCATGGTGACTCCACCACTTCCCTGGACAGCCTGTTCCAGTGCTTGAAAACCCTTTCTGTGAAGAAATTTTTCCTAATATCCAGTCTCAGCCTCACCTGGTACGACTTGAGACTGTTTCCTCTCATCCTATCACTTATTACTTGTGACAAGAGACCAGCACTTGCCTTTCTACAACCTCCTTTCAGGTAGTTGTAGAGAGCAGTGAGATCTTCACTCAGCCTCCTTTTCTCCGGACTACATAGCCTCAGGTCCCTCAGTCACTCCTCAGAAGACTTATTCTTAAGACCCTTCACCATCTTTGTTGCCCTTCTCTGCACCCTCTCCAGCACCTCAATGTCCTTCTTATAACTGGCACCCAAAACTACACACAGTACTCAAGGTGTGGCCTCAGCAGTGCCAAGTACAGGGGCACAATCACTTCCCTGGTCCTGCTGGCTACACCGCTCCTGATGCAGGCCAGGATGCTGTTGGCCTTCTCAGCCACCTGAATACACTGCTGGCTTATGTTCATCTGGCTGTCAACCAGCACCTCTAGGTCCTTTTCTGCTGGACAGATTTCCAGCCACTTTTCCCCAAGCTTGCAAGTTGCACAGGGTGTTGTGGCCCAAGTGCAGGACTCAGCGCTTGGCCTTGTCGAAGTCCATGCATTAGCCCATTCATCCAGCCTGTCTAGGTCCCTGTGAAGACCCTTCCTACCCTCAAGCAGATCAACACTCATCCCTAATTTGGTGGCATCTGCAAACTTACAGAGGGTGATCTCAATCTCCTCGTTAAGGTAATTGATAAAGATACTAAACAGGAGCAGCCCCAGCACTGAGCGCCTCGAGAACACCACTTGTGACTGGCCACAACTGGATTTAACTTCATTGACCAGTAGTAATATGTTTAACAGCTAAATCACAATATAGAAAACCCGCTTTCAATGAAGTCTACTTAAGACTGCATTTATGATGTTTAAGTACAAAACCCAAAGGAAGCTTTGGAAATGGAAAAAAAAAATTGCTCCGTCAGAGATCCTTTCTCTCTGACATACAGATGCATTTCATATGGATTTTTTTTCCTTTGCAACCATAAAACAACAACCCAAAAAACTCCACCAAAAATATGGATCTTAGCATTAAATACCTGACCTAACTTCAAAGTTAGCCCTGGCTTTGAGCAGGAGGTTGGATCAGATGACATCCAGAGCTCCCTTCCAGCCTGCATAATTCTTTGATGCTACTTCTTTTCTATTGTAGATTCAGGACTTGTCTCTCATGTGTGGAGATTGGAGACGACTGGCACTATTAGATTTCTAAGTACAAGCCCTGAACCTGCGGGCTGCTCAGCAGGCATTAACCTTTGCTCCTGCACACAGCTCCACTGAATTAAGCTGGTAGGATTATACTTAAAATCCAAACAACTGATAGGGAAAAAACGCCCTTGTATTAGAACTCATAAAGCTCATGTTGCATCATTGTCATCATCATCAACATCAACGTAGTGTCTACTGATACTTTGTCCAGCATACTATCTCACTTTCTTCTATTAATGATATATCTTAAGAACCTTTTTGAAGAGCTTCCAGCAAAACAGATTTGGTATTCCTGATAAGCAAAAAGATTATACCAGAAGCAACTCCTCCCCTCCATTCCCTTTCTTCCACCTGCAACCTTTTCACCTTCCTCTCTGAAAAATAAATCCAAACTTCTGTATTTTTCTGGGTATTTTAAAGCATCAAAATATTTAACTGTATATTTTTGAAAAAAGCTTACCTGAAGCTACTGGTATGTAACAACCAGCAGATTTTAGGGCATTAACAGCATCAGTGACTCTTGCAGGATATACACAAACTGCTCCAACAGTAATACCTGCAAAAGCCACAGTTCGCTTTTTCATACATAGATTTCAACCTTTTTGAGTGCAATCATTATTATGAGTATGTGTGCATTGTTCTCACCTCTCACTTCTGCATTCTCACAAGGATCTCAAGCACCTACACTACGGATGTGCGTCATATTCTTCAAACGGTTCAGGTAATTTTCCAAACAGATTTATTGTTTAATGCCAACACATACAGTTAAGCCATGGTTTGTCAGGAAATTACTGCAAAAGAAACTGCACTGCCAACCTCTGCCCTTACTTGTTGAGCCAGATTGAGCCTGGCCATAACTGAGCAGTCTTTATGTTAACACAGTCCTGCTGCGTTTCTAGTTAAAGTTATTCTCTCAGAGTCAGATAAGTGACCACATATTTAAGACTTCGACTATTTGGAAAGTCCATAAATCCGAGCTTTAAAAAAGGACTAATCTTTGATATTTTATGTGTATGGCTTAAAACCAGAGGCCTGATTCCCCTCCATTCCTACATATATGATTTCAATTAGTGGTACCAAGCCCCTGTAAAACTGAAATATTTAAATAGTAAAAGCATGTCCCAACTGTCATTGGGATTTTCTTTTTGTTAGATCAAAGGCCAATATAACAGGTCAAAAGTCAAATGGTATTCACTGACATATTAGTAATTACATATGGAAAAATTCAGAAATGCTGCTCAGATATAAAGAGGTTTTATTGATAGTTACATCAATTACCTCAATTTTCTCTGAAGTTTTGTGGTGCTTAGTCCTGGGTGTAACACTGGGGCATTAGATGGAGCCTGCCTGAGTAATGTCAATGCAAGTTTTACTACTATTTCTGAAAGGCTGTCTTCCATCCCTTAAACTCTGTTGACTTAGCTGGGAACTCTGTGTGTGTGCACCTACACGTGATATACACATGACTGTGTACACTTAGTATAGCTGGTTCCTTAAAGTAGACCGGGCTTTAAAAAGCTTTCTTATCTCAGCTACTGAAATAAGCAGACAAAGGATAATGTCTTCTGAAGGGAAAATAACCTGCTTAGGACCATGGAATGCATCTTTTCGGACAGGCAAAGCAGTAGATTCAGTAATTAGATATACAGAAACAGCAGCTAAGCATGAAATCCCAAGGAGTCACATGAACACTCCCCTCTTCTCCAATTTACTAAGGATGCCGACAGATTAACAGAATACTCAATTGGTTTTACCTTAGTGCACTGTTATTAAAACATATACACTGAGGTTACACACTTGTGGCTTCCACATCAAATTTGCTCATTAGGTATCGTACTTACATTGTCACCCTCAGTCCAAACTTCACTTTGGTTCCCAAACTAAGAATGGATTTTTTTCTTGTACTTTTATGTTGACTCAAACAAACAGATATTTTGCAGTTAGAACTTAAGAGTTGCTTTGAATAAGACCACATAGGACCTAGCTTGTTCTCTCAGGACTCTTAGTTCTGCACTACTGCCTACCATAACTGCTTCCACTATAGGAATAAGAAGTTTTTTACACCTTTCTGAAAACTGAAAAAAACAATGAGGAAATGTAGAAATTTTCTCTACAATATATACACAACAAAAACTATAAACTACCTTTATCATGCATATCCAAGGCTTTCAGCAGATCCTCTCTGATGGGATGCTTTGCTTTAAAACACAGTCTGTGAACATTTGAAGGCGTATCATCACCTGAAAGAGTGGTAAGGTCTATGCAGGTGACAGCTTTCAGCAGCCAAGCAGCCTACAAAGGGAGTGAAGAAAGGAATATAATATTTCAGTGTATGCTTCCAAAGCAAAACTTACTTAGAAGATGCAGGAATTGGAAGCCTGGCATTCACTCTAAGAATGAGGAAACACATGGGTTATAACATGGAGGATATGCAAAGAATGACATATGACAGATAGGGTTGGAAGGTTCATGGCTTGAGCAGTACCTAATGGTACAGAAAGGATCTGGAATCAAAAGTCCAGTCTCTCAGAACCAAAGGATCAAATTTAAAGAATCCCATTTTACCTAGACAAAAAACATCTTGTTTCAAATTTAATTCTGTAAGACAAAAATATCAACTACGTGAGGAACCTCACTACTACAATATGCTCCATTCTATGCAGTGTATGTGCATCATTCAGGCTTGTATGCACAGGAAATTATCCATATGCTTCAAGAGGGGCATAGGTTTGCAACTGCCAGTAACCAGATGAATCTACATATCACCAATTTGCACACTTGCACATTTGCACACTGCTTCTGCTGTGAGAGTGAAACATGGAATCAGTGGTGGGGTAAGAATCCAGACATCTTAAAATGTATGGTCTAGACTCCAGATGCTTCCACTTTCTTTTGTGTGAATAGGGAATAAAAAACATCTGTAATTATCTGGTGTAAAAAAAAAAAAGCAAGAGCTAAGTGACAAGGCTAAAGCACTCTTTAGATTAAAATGCTACAGAATTTTAAAAGACTTACCAATCAGGAGGAAATGGAACAGAAGCACAACTGAAGGGTTTTTTTGAGCTTTTTTGCTGAACAAAAATTGAGCTTAAGATGTAACTGAAATATTTGTGGAAGGTCTTCCAGCAAATTCTTATTGAGAGTGATGACTTCACTAAAAGCTGGTATTTCTTGGTGTCCACTTGTTCAACGAGGAGAGAGTTTGTAATGGTAAAGTCCATTTGAGTCCATTAAGTCCCTCTCTGTGACATTTCTCAGTATAGGCAACAAAATTTGTTGCACCTGCACGGAGGTACTACTCTGCAAAGCTTTAGTGGCTGGTTAGCCTACAAACCTTCCACATTTTGTTGACAGCAGTCTCCTTTCTGACCTTTCAGCAAATGTTACACTAAAAGCTTCTTTGGGTTGACTGAATGAAGTAAGGAACCATTACTGGCCTCTGTTAACCTAAGCTTGACTGCTTGCTTCTAACTGATTTCTACTTTCACCCTATAATACTTCAAAAGGATTTTTCACTTTACATGGTTTTAAGCTGCTTTTACTTGGATTTATTTATCCTTCATTCAAGGGAATTTTTTTCTCATCTCTTATGAAATGAATCATAAAGTCATAAAGGCAGATGTAGCCAGGGAGTTCCAAGAACTGCTAGGAACTTCATTGTTTTAAAAGGGTTTTTCAAGTGTGTATTTTGGGAAATGGGCTTCAAAATTTGAATCTGTGGTACTACTTACATTCAAGTATGTAAAGGTTGAAAATAAACTCTGTGAAATAAACAACACATGACCATCCTACAATGGCAGTGTTCAAATAAAGGAAAAATGCTTCTGGCATTCTTCAAAATAAAACCTTACTGGAGTAGCTCAATACCAGAGTAACTACAGAGAGGAGTGGAGAAATGCCAGTAATAATTAAACATTTGTCCTACAGCCATGTTGAGGGAGTGACACTAAATCCCTTCCTTCTCAATGATTCTTTGTAATCAAAGCCTGTGGCTCTCTGTGTCTTTGTACTTTATATAGTAACTCTGGTCAAATCAGAAGACTTACTTTTTACATTACTGTACCAGTAGTATCTGAAGATAGCCAAGGTTTTGGAACACCCCTTGGATTTTCTGACTGACACTACTTCCCAACACAGAGCCACTGGACTCCTAAACTTGGTGTCAAGTGACTTCTTATGCATAAGAAACTCTTGAGAAATGCTGAGCTGGTGTCCAGCTTTCCTCAGTGTATGTCCATGTTTTATTTAATCTTAATATTCAAAGCACAAACTTTCAGGTTCATGTAACATGTGAGCAGGTTTTTTCTATAATCTTTCAGTAGGAATTTACAGCAACATCAAATTATCCCCAAACTGTCATCCACAAGATCCGTGCTCATTGTGAATGCAGTTTCAGCCCCCCAAGAAATGGCTGCCTGACATGCTAAGCTCTGGATGCCAAATATTTCAAACAGCTTATTTAAGAATTAAGTATAATTAAATGATTCTTGCTTTGTTCTATTACATGGCACTGTCAAGACTGATCCGTGGTTCTCTCCCTCCTCCTGCTTCCAGGTTTTCAGTTACTGTTGCAAGTAAACGAGTTGTTTAGCATGCAGAGGGGAGGAACCAGGCATTTGCTTGCAGAACAGCTGTTTGGTGAATGAAGAATCACTTTGTCCTTTGGACACCTGTTACAATCCAATGGCTGATAGCTCACTGGGAGCTCTAGGTCTGCTGCATGGCATTTCTCAGACCTTGCCCTTGGCTGAAGACTGCCAAAGCAGTTGAATATTCTGCAGCCAGCTCTGCTTGCTGTTCCTCTCTCAGCACTTTCTGTCCTGCTGCTGAGGTGGCAGAAGCTACCACATGGCCCTGCCTCACCTGCTCTCCTCTGCAGAATGCATTAGCTTACAGTCCTGACCTGATGGCTTTGCATCACGATTCTCAGGTACAAACTGGAGAAACCAAAATGTACACCAGGCCAGTATCTGTCAATTCTGCCAGAAGGACTACAGCAGAGGTCGAGGGTAACTGCTAAGTTACTCTAAAAGTGCGTCTTCCATGAACACAAGTCAGCCTTGAAGAAAGTTCATTTGTACCACTGGCTTTAGTGAAGGCTTACAGGAACCTATTTTACACTAAGATGGACAATAACCCGTCATTTACCTATCACAGGAGTTGGCAAGCTCTTTATTATTTTACTTGTTTTTATTTTTTTCCTATTTCTCCCCAAGTGCCATAGCCAGTCAGGATTTTTGAGCTTTAGGTAAGAACTAGTTAAGCAAAGAAATCACACATTAGGATGCTTAGGTAAAGGAAAAGCATCCAGGTAGGTCAAGCTTGCCAGGGACCATGATCATATCTTACAGCTTTAAAATTAAAAATAAGAAGGCAGCATGCATAGAAGTCTGTCTGGGAACAGAATAAATGTGTTGGGATAGTAATATACAATTTAATCCATTCATGAATAAAGATGACTTAAATTCATTTGCGGTTTTGCCACTCATGAGTTATAAGGTTTTTAAATTGTTTGGATAAATGCGTCACCTTAATCCATCCCATCATCATCAAATACAGATTATTAAAACACAACATGGACAAGCACATCTTTTAAGTTTAAATGTATCTTGAAAAAAATTCAATATTGCAGCCTAGAGAGGGAGAGTGACTGCTTTAAAAATACAGGAATAAAATGCAGAAAAGAGCACTTACTTGCCAATTACCTTTCACAGTTTTCCATTTTTTAATTTGTTCTGCATGCCTCACAACTGCAGGTCGATTCACATGCACTTTGGAGATCCAGCCAAGTTCTGGGGTGGGAAAAGAAAAAAAGTCTCATCTATTTCTGTATTCTTTCAATACATGGTGTGGGACTTCACAAGAAAGTTGGAACTTCAGAAGAGCATGTTGTGCTTTCATGTCCTTTTAAGGGTTTGTGTACTTATCACCAGTTTAAAATATCCCAATAGCATTAAATTCTGTTAGTGTGTAGCCTGTGAAATGGATGTTTCATGCAGTATGTTCCGTTTGCCTGTACAACTGAATTATGAGAGACACTGTTGCCATTCCTGGAAGTTTACTATACATGTAAGGTATAAAAACCCCATAAAACAGCCTTCTGTCACTGCTTGCTGATTTACTTCTTGATTCCAGACTATGAAAACATTCATTTAGTCCTTTACTTGTCTGCTGGCACCCAGGATACAACAGCATTTTTGAGGGTGTGCAAACTCTTGTTTACAGGAACTGTGCCTCACACTAAACTGTCTAAAAACAGAAGTACCAAAAATTGGGCACCACTTAATGAAGGGTAACTGCCTGACAAAGGAACTGAGGGTTCAGGCTCCTGACTCTTGAGATTTCTGCTTAGCATGATATACACAAAATGTAATTTTGAATGTCAATAAACACAAACTGCTCAAAGTAATACACAGGAAAAAGAAAACAGAATATCTTTTAAACCTCTCATATCTCAAATAACAAGTAGTAATTCTAAATACTAAGCATGTAAGCAATCCATGAAAATACTTTGAAAACAACATCAGCAACCTCTAACCACCAATCAACAGCAAATGACCATCATCAGTCAGCAAATATCATTGTCAGTTAAGGTCAGTATATGGACTTGGGCTTAGATACTAAGAGATAGTAATTTTTAGTGACTTAATAAATTAAAAGCATCTCATCTTCAGGAGTCCTCTTCTATACTGTATTAAATTTGCATTTCCCTCAAGCACATTGATTTTAAAAGGTTTAATTTTTTTTTAAAAAAGCTGATAACCAAAATCACTAACTTTGTACAGAAATCTTATCCCCAATTTTTCTTCTACCCAATTTATAGATCTAATAGCCAAAAATAAAGCGCAGGAATAATATACTAGCTGAAGTATGTGTGAAAACAAGCTTGTTTTCCTAATCAGTCTCACAAAAAGCTCTAGAGAAACCAGTTTATAAGGTAAAGATGACTCAGTGGAAATGCACAACAAAGGCATGAAACACAGCTAAACAAAATCTTGTCCTGAGCACAGTAAGCCACCTTGCTACCACTTTCCTATTACCACATACAAGTAATTAAATGGGTGGTACCTACAAGATCAAAATGTGGGCCAAAAGAACCAGAAGTAAATCAAGGAAGGAATTTCAAAGACATCCTAAGTTGAAAACCAGTCAAACAACACACTCTCATTGCTTCTCTCCATTTTCAAAGCCACAGGCTTACCCATTCTGCCCCAAAAGCAAGAAGCTCAACTGACATGTACAATGCAAGTGAGAAAAGCTATTGCTACTACACCTATGGCTAGGACTTTCCTTCTTTTTAATATCAATAAGTGCAAACCATACAAACACAGACAGGTGAAATACAAGCTAGTGAAACTTCTGCATCCTCTGCAGTTGCTTTAAGGTCGACAGTCCTATGTGATCAGCAAACCATATATCACTTGCCATGGGGCCAAGTGTAGGCAAAATGTGATAAAGTCCATGGAATAGAAAAATACAAATAAACACACACATGAAAGAAACACAAACTCTGTTGTGATTCTCTTACTATGTGCCAAGTACTCAGGTAGAATAATTCCATCACAATCCAATTTATCAAGATAACTTTTGAACCCTACTGGGTGTATGGTGACCTTTCAGCTCCTTTGAAAAATTTGAGAGAGTCAAAGGAAGCAGTTAAGATTAGGAACTCAGTTTCTTTCTTTCTAATAAGGATCATTTCAGTTACTCTACTCTAACCTTTACTTTCTACATTGTGAAGGACAACCAAGAAATCCAACTAAATGATTCATGAAAACTACAGCCTTCTGTAGAAAAGTTTGGAAAATCTGAGGACAGTGTCCATTCTAATAGATATGGAAAAATCAAGCTTTCAGATGAAAATTTAGGTGAAAGAATAGGAATTTCCCCCATGAGTAGGTTAAGTCTTCATTACTGATTATTTGGAGAAGACTCAATCTGATTCATCTCATGCTAGACTTTGGTAGAATCATACATATAGCTACTGTATCTGCCACTACCTGACTTTTGAGCATAGCTTCGCAGAAGCTATTAGAAATCTTTTCAGGAAACAGAGCACTGCACACTAGATAGTCTTAAAGGAAAACGTAAAGTATAATATCATTGAGAGAAATAAGAAAGAAAAAAAAAAAAAAGAAGAAGAAAAAATAGTTGATAATCGATGGGAAAAGTTGGGGAAGAACATTGGGAAGGAAATAAGCTGCCACCTTTGCTTTGCCCAAAGTCACCTGTGAAACCTACCGTATCAGTTGATCAGCAATAGCTGATTGCATGTTCTTTGTAAATATGATGAAATTCACTGGCTCAAGCCCTTTTCACTGTATTACACATTTTACATTCTGTTTCAATTACACAAGACTAGTCATGAAAGTAGCCGCCTCAGTAAGGAGTAGTGTCTAATTTTTCGTGTCTGAGATGCAAGTTTCCTTAGAAGACCATAGAATTTGGATCTCCAAGTATTCTTTTTTAATGTGGGATATTGAAGCACAGCACAAGTAGAACACAAAACAAAAAAACCCAAGCTGATTAAAAAAAAGAATCAGAACTCCATCCTGTCTGTACAATTTGATGTGAGACATTATGCAGCTTACTAAAGGAAATAAAATAGTGTAATAAAAAAAACACACGGCGAGGAAGGACAAAGGTTCTGGTAATATGCAGCAGCAGATGGAGATTTCTGTCTAACACAGACCTTTTATTCAAGCCCACTTCTCCATTAATTAAAGCAGGGGGCAAGTGAAAACAAATATGTCTCAGCATAATTGTCTCTAAATTGACTTTCAAAGCTTGCCATGTGAGGTCTCACCAAATCTTTAAATGTAAGTGTCTCTTCTCTGAAAAATCCTTCACAATTGCAGCTTTTTTCTGGCATTAAAAATCAGAATTAAACCATTATTTGAAATAGAACTGACTGCTTTTGGATTCTCTCTCTCTCTCCCCTCCACCCCCCTAAGCTTTATGATTTAGTATCTGGCTAAGGAAAACTATATTTAATTAGGCTCATTAACCTTGCAGTGTGAACACGTCTTTTTTTTTTTTTTTCCATAAGTCATCTGCTAGTCATCTGCACAGTCATGTGGCTTCAGGGATAAAAGTAATTAAAGCAGTTACACTATAGCTAATTAGCCAATATTCTGTAATCACTCTTCAAGTTTACTTTCTTCTCTGAAGACATTTGAAAAAATCACACTCAAAATCCTAACAGGAAATTCATCTCCTCTCTTTGAAGAACATGGATCCAAAAATACCCAGCATTTCCTCAGAAAACAATAAATAAAACCACTTCATTAGTATAATTACATAAATATCTAAGATACTTAACACATTCCTCATAAAACAGACTAAGCTTTTCAGAAGCTTTAAAAAAAAAAAAGTGTAGATGGCATCCCTTCAGATGGTGAAACAGAGCTCAAGAATGCCTGAGGCTGTAGCTTCACAAGCATTTTAAGGCAGCACTCTCCCCAAAAGAAGCTGCCCCCCCCTTCTCCCCAACTGGTTATTTCCTCCTCTCTGCCAGAAACAGCATGTGTGCTCCTGCTCCTACCATGAACACATGACAAAATGGGTAAGGGAAGTGATGAAAGCTTTTATTTCTGGAGAAATGAGTGAAAATGTGCCCTGAACCTTCATCAGAGAAAAGAGGTATTCAGGTGGACACAGGCTGACCCCAGCTGGCCATGCACAGCCCAGCAAAGCCATTGGACAGAGACAAAAGGCTTCAGGACCAGGCCTTGCTACAGTTACATCATGTAAGCTTTTCAGATATTTGGGGGTTATTCTGTGTCTTAGAGACAGAAGCTGTAGTTATTTTCCCATAGTGACCCTTGTTATGGATGTATTTTATTTTCAGATGGGTCCTCTTTATGTGAGAGAAGTTCAGTCTCCTAAGTCATCAGCATTCAGATGGACACCAACGCATGAGGCCTGAACTAGAAATCAGCTCTATTACCTTGTGACATTAGTAAAATCACACAATGATGGCCCTGGATCACATTAAATGGATCATGGTATCCTCCAAAGCACTTTTAAAACTGCTGACAAGCTGACAAAAAGCTCAGGAAGTGAACAGCAGAACAATGGGAGCTTGGTTTCCTGCAGGTCCAAATCCCCTGCTGTTCCTTCTCTGCTTCTGTGGCTCCAAAGACCTCCCTTCACCCCAATAATGCCGTTGACCTGAAATGGCCCTCATGGCCACGGAGTAAACCAGCATATTGTTACTTACGTAAGGCCCTCCCAAAAAGATGTAACGAAAAGTCATGTAATTCCTGAGCTGTGTCTGTCTTACCCTCAACAAAGGGACTAATTTGGTCACTCCACCTAGAGACTCACTTATCCTTGAGCCAGCTATCTGTCCTTCAAATTTGATTAAAATTATCCAGCAGATCCAAAAGGTGTTAGAAAGGAACAGTGAAGAAACAGAGCCACAGTACAGGATAAAACCAGCTATTAATATATTAGAACAGAATTATGCTGTCTTGAAAAGGGATGCAACACTTAATTATCTAAATGCCACTTACCAACAGGCTAGCCCTCACGTGTAAATGGCTCAGAAATACCAACTACAATTAAAAGTATCAATTGAAACATAACGAATGTATTTCTGGCCCTTCAACTAGGCTGAGCAACACAGATACATTTATTTTTTTTTTAGAATCCAAAAAAATCCTTTGAAAAACAACTGCAGTTATTCATTACTCAGAATAAGTATGTATATATATATAGACATGTACACAAAAGTAAAAAAAAACAAACAAACACCACAATATATCATAGCAAAATGTCATTTATCCAGCCCCGTGTGCAAAGCAGGGTTGGCTCTGAGCTCAGACCAGGCTGCTGAAGGCTTTATTCAGCTGGGTTTTGAGAGTCTTAAAAGGATGGAGATCACACAGCCTCTCTAAGCAACCTGCCCCACCAGCTGACTGTGCTGAAGATGTTTTTCCTATATCCAGTCTGAACTTCTCTGTCTCAAGACAAGACTGCTGTCTTGCTTCATCCTGTCATGCAATGCTAAGATCCTGGTTCTGCTTTCTTGATAAACTCCCCACAGGGATGAGCAGGCTGCTGTTAGGACCTCCAAAGCCATCTCCTCTCCAGATTGAACCAACCCAGCTCCCTCGGCCTCTCCTCATAGAGCAGGTGGCTCTTTGCTGAACTCAGGACAGTTTATCAATCTCTTTCTTCCATTGGGGGGCAACAAAACTGGACAGTCTTCCAGATACAGTCTAACAAATGCTGAGCAGAGGGGACAATCCCTTGCTTTCTGCAAGGAGTCACTGCCTATGTCCCCACTGGTGTAGCCCAGGAGGCCACTGGCCATCTCTGCTGCCAGGGCACTGCTGCCCGTGCCCAGCTCACTGCCCACCAGGCCCCTCTGGGCAGAGCTGCTCCCCAGGCAGGCAGGGCCCAGCCTGTGTGGCTGCTGGGGCTCATCCTGCCCAGGCCTTCGGCCCCACTGAAAGTCACTGGGCTCCAGTGGCTCCTTCCCTTGGATATCTGGGTGCCTCTGATCTGTCTAATTTAGTGTCACCTGAAAACTAAGAGCAAGCAGGCCATCGCCCATACCAGTTCACTGAAAAAAAAAAAAAGTTAAACAGGATGGGTCCCAAGCTAGTCCTCTGCATTACTCTACTTGGTACCAGCCTCAAAGTAGAGTATTATTGACTGTGTTATGTGCTGGGTTTATAACATCTTGCCTGCCATTTTATGGCTCTACCAAAGGTTATTGGATGTCTTTCTGCATGACTTTTGAAGATTTTTCATCAAAATTCCACCTGCAGGGAGCAGAAAACCCATGTGATAGACAACTGCATCCCCACAGTTAAGCCAAAGGATTATGCTACTAGCTTGCACTACAAAATGGATGCTCACTGACGTGTTTCACTATCTGGTGCTTTTCTGAAAAGTGACAAAACAGGCAGCACCTGGTCCATCGCACGTCAGTGTCCTTGTATGCAGAGCAGGAGACTCCTTTCAGCCCCTGCATTCATTGTGGTGAACCAGAGTACCTAAGAATGTCTCTGCAAATAGTCCCTGTGGAATGACAAACTTGTAAAATTCCTTATCCATATTCTTTACTCAACTTGCTGATGGCAAATGTATCAGTGTACTAAACTAGTGACCCTCTGATTAGTTAACACAAATCAAAAGTGCTTTTTTGTCTTTTAAAAGTATCTGTTCTTTATTCCAAGTAAAAATCTTGTTC